AAAATTCAAATAACTCTTTGCCCTGCTGAAATGCATAATTCCAAATATAAATTATTCTCCATCATTCCTCTAATGAAATGCAATCATTGATAGCAAAGATAAAAGTCAAATGCAATTCCAGTGTGTTGAACTTAAAACCTTTGACATTGATAAATGGATATGTAAATGAGCACGGTGCCTTTGTTCAATGTTAGGTTTTCAGATTAGCATGATATTTATCTGGATTCCAGCCCAGTTTTGTTGTAGTGAAATTTATTATAAATTTCAGAAAGTTACTTTCCTCTAGCGAGTAAGCATACTGGAAGGCATGATTTCAATAATACGAGCTAAGTATTTCCTTTTAAATGGACATATTAAATAATATGGGGGAAAGGGTTACATTTTAATCAGTGATCCCTAAACATAATTGTTATATTATCTCTTTTTAATTAATTATTATTAAAGTATTATCTCTCTATTTCCCACCAATTCAGCAACATCTAGTAGAATTTGATTGTCCCATGTGTTTAATATTTGGTTGAGAGAACAAAAAGGTACTATGGCTCTTTTGAGACATTGTTAGAATTCTGGAAAAAAACCAATGGAAAGAAATCAACAACAAACCACTTGTATATACTGCCTAGAAAACTCCATGTATATGTAAATCTATTTGGTAACTAGGAGCAGATGTCGATTAAAAGAAGGTCTATTTCTGAACTCAGAACAGGACAGAGGGATAACTCTGGAATAATAGATGAATATTATTATTATATTATCAAGATCAAGTGAGGTACTAATACCACTCTATAAAGCCTTAGTAAAACCACATCCAGAATAGTGAATCCAGTTTTGGTCACTACACTATAAAAAAAGATGTTGAGACTATAGAAAAAGTGCAGAGAAGAACAACAAGGATGATTAGGGGATTGGAGGCTAAAACATACGATGAACATACGAGGAGCTGGGCATGGCTATTCTAGTGAAGAGAAGGACCAGGGGAGACATAAATAGCAGTCTTCAAATATTTGAAGGGAAGGGGTCAAGCTTTTTTCCAAGGCACCTGAAGGCCAGACAAGGAATAATGGATGGAAACTGATTAAGAAGAGATTCAGCCTGGAAATAAGGATAAATTTTCTGGTAGTGAGAACAATCAAACAATGGAAGTTGTGGGAGCTTCATCTCTGGAAGCTTTCAAGAAGAGATTGGTCTGTCATTTATCAGAAATGGTGTCGGGTCTTCTGCTTGGGGAGGGGAGGGGTTGGACTAGATGACCTACAAGGTCCTGCCCAACTCTGTTAATCTGTAATAACAATAATAATTTAAAATGTTAAAATGAGAAAAAGTGTACTTGTGTTACATATAAGACATAACAATGTCTTCCTATGCACTTGTCTAAGAGCACTGAATTAAATGGAATAAATTGACTGGGTTACTGGTGAGGCAATATGCAGCAGAAATGGAATTATAGGAGAAGTGATTCTTTTTTAATGGAAAAAGCAGATTCATGTTCAAATAGCAACAATGAAAAGAAAGTATCTGGTGCCTAATTTTAGTACAACAAAGCAAATATGGGGAATTTGAAGTACGGGATTCAAAATATGGTTGATATTTATATTTAGGCAAGGCTCAAATTAGAATAATTTATATTTCTTTGAAGCAGAAAGAAAGTCATGCCAAACTTTTGAAAATAAACCTGAAAATATTGGTGAGAGATTTTACTCCCAGACAGTAAAAAGATGATTTCTTACTTTTTGTTTCATATATTGTATAATTTCACACCTTTCAAAAGAAATTGTTTATAATTTGGCATATGGGGCAAACTTTGTCAATATTGGTTATGCAATAAGCATTGTTGTTAAACAAGCCATAGGTCACTATATGAATTATGTATTTCCAAAAGGCATTTTTTTTAATATTCCACAAAAAATAAAGGCGAGATTGAAAACAAGATGGAAAGAATATTTCTACCAAGGAATAACTCTATATGGCTTATCTTTCCACTCCCTGCTAATAATATTTTTGGAAAGAAATGTTCCTAAATTGTTGTTGCATTTTGTAAGAGCAGCAGTGATTTCTAGGAATGGCTTCATTTCAGAATTGGCATTAACTTGGTAGAGGTCTTTATTGAATGTTGGCTATTCAGCGAGTAGTGGCTGCTGTTGCTAATCCCAATTCTCCAAGCAGGCATGGAGTCCTAAAAGCTCTTAAAGATGGATTATTTCATCTCAGTATCTCCTTACACTTAGGATGTCACATCTCAATGGTGTGTTATTTTCCAAATGACTGAATTAGGAACCAAAGTAGAATTTGTGATTCCTAATTTGAAAGTATATTTTTATGAATAAGTTGTTTAAAAAGGCCTCATGTTTATCTGTACTAAGGATTGTGTTGTGGGCAATAAGACTAGCAAAATTGTTCTACCCTTCAGTTTCCAGAATATCAGGTGGCAGCTCTGTTTAGGAAACCTATTGCCTCCTAGGGATGAAAGAGTTTATGGAACATTTTAAGGACCACAGTGATGGTTAATTTAGGCATTCAATGATAAAATTGCATGGATTTGCCCAGAGTTGGACTTTGTACAGGTCCTGTTGTAGTAATTGAGGCATAGTCTGGATTGTTATCTGAGAAGAATTAGAGCTATAAAACTCAAGGAAGTGGACAAGATCCTTGGAGCTGTGAATACAGTAACTTACTTATTTTGGAAGTTTGGCTCGAGACTCATGATTTAATTGGGATAACTGCTAGAATCCTGATATTAGGAATTGTGGTGGCACTGGTTAGAATGCAGTACTGCAGGCTATTTCTTCTGACTGCTGGCTGCCTGTAATTTGGCAGTTCAAATCTTACCAGGCTCAAGGTTGACTCAGCTTTCCATCCTTCCAAGGTGGGTAAAATGAGGACCCACATTGTTGGGGGCAATAGGCTGACTCTGTAGAGAGGGCTGTAAAGCACTGTGAAGTCATATATAAGTCTAAGTGCTATTGCTATTAGACTTACGCTCCTATTAGTTGTGTTTACATGGCAATGAATTCATCTTTGGATGAAAGATAGTCCTGTCTTCCTTGAAGTATGCAATGGTGCACCATACTCATAACAGACAACATATAATATACTACAAATGCAAAAATAATTGTTTAACAGAGAAAACAGTGTTCCAGTGAACATTAACCCTATTGAAAAAATAGACAACAAAATCAGGAACACTCTCAGTACAAATCTGATGACAAGAACAACAGAAGATCGAAAGCAATGATCCTACCATTCCATGTTTGTATGAATTCCAAAAACACACAAACCTGAAATCCTTTTCCAATGTATTATAATGATACCAGAGACTACTACATGAACTGATCCCAAAAATATGGTCAAGAAACCTGGACACTCAATAGATGGCTATAAATACTTCAACAGCTCAACATTATTATTACATAAGGGGAAAAAAACTAAGAGAGAATGAAATCATTATATCCTATAATATCACAACTCTCTTCACACTGAACAGGCCAAAACTAGCTTAATCAGAACACTCAGATCAAAACTCATAAATAATTACAGTGCTGCTACATCACATACCATACCTGACTGAATTCCCAAAAGTTAAAGCAGCAAAACATATGGAACTGATAGGTCAGCACGCTACCACACCCTTCCAGATTGTCAAGCAATCTATGAACACATCTAGGAAGATTGATGGATTCCCTGTCTCGGTATTCTTAGCACAATGCAATAATTAGTTGCCCTAATACAACAATTAAGCTTCCCATTAATTCAGACAAAAATATGAACTCACTAGCTACATGAAACCTTTGTCACAGTAAAAAGAAGAGAACAGTTAAAAAACACATACGGTTTGGTCAACATATGCTCTAATAATGAAAAGGCCCCATATTTCACTTCTGAGGCCTCCTTGGGCATTTTCAGATCTGGCAAAGAGTTCTGAGTGCGATTTGTGCCTGAACAGAAGTTCCTTTTGACATGTTTGGCTTGCTTTAAGTGCCAGAAAAAGCTGTTGGCACTGCCTGTTGATGCTTTGAGGCAATGAAAACCACTCATTGAAAAAAACTGCTTCACCGCAATTTGTGAGGTGAATCCATGCAGCCTTGACTTGGCTACCTCAAAGATATGTAGCCACAAAAATACAACACTCTGGGAGGGGGGAATCAGTTTGATGCCCTCTGCTTGGATTCCTTTTTGAAATATTTCTGGGAATCATTTGATGTCAACTGACATGATTACTATAGTACAGTAGCCTTAGACAGCAGATATAGTCAAAGATTGTTATATTATATGGAATTCTGTACTATAGAATTGCTGCTTCTATAGAGCGCCACAATTCTATTTGTTTGTATAAAAACATATATGGTGGTCTACCTTACACAAGAACAAAAACACTCTTTTCCATTTCTTCATCATCCAACATCATTTGATGGAAGTTGGCAAGATGCAAGGTAAATCAAAGGTAATCTTGCATCAGTTATATACCAACTTCACAAATGTCCTTTTAATGTTGAATTAAAAGAACAGGCTGTGGTCAGTTCCACATGTTTTTTGCCTTGCATAAAGTAGAAGGGGTTCATATCACTGATGCTACTAAAAAAATCTATAATTATTCAGCTGAGCATTTTTCAAAGGAATGATCAAGGAAAGCCACCAAAGTTGATGTAGGTTTTTTTTTTTTAAAAAAAACTTTTGTTTCTTTTTAAAGACTAAGGATTATATAAAATGCTAATGCTGTCACTGAATGCTTAGAGAAGAAGGTAATCTAGAAGAAGAATTCAAAGCTTTTAATGCTATTGCGCTTAATAGCATTACCTCCCTTGGACAACAGCAATTTACTCCTTAGGTAGAGACCCAAGACAGTATAAATCAGGGGTCCCCAAACTTGGCAACCTTAAGACTTTTGGACTTCAACTCCCAGAATTCTCCAGCCAGCTATGCTATGTTGGCTGGAGAATTCTGGGAGTTGAAATCCACAAGTCTTAAAGTTGCCAAGGTTTGAGACGTCTGGTATAAATACTCACCATATTCGTTGTCATAGAAAATAATAAATTTCTGCCAGGCATATTCAGTGACCACTCTGAAGATGACATCATTGATGTAGACAGGTGGGCGGACAAAAAGTGTATAATCGTCATTCCTGTTACTCCTGGTAGTACCACAGCCACTCCTTGGGGTCCCAGCTGTTGATCTCTGGATGAAGAGATGAGGAATGTGCATGGCATCTGCCAGAGACTGGAGGGAACCTGCCGATGTACAACCAATGGAGCTGACCAGAGCCAGGATCCCATGGTTCATGAGTTCACAGGCTGCAAAAGAAAAAGAAAAAGAAAAGCAAATGAGAATCAAGATGACAAGAGGAAGGTAAGAGATATTTTTTTGTTTTTTGTCTCTCTTTTTTTAAAAAAAGCAAATATCCTGCTAACACGAAATAGTGGAATTTGACATGCAACAAATTCAGTTGAGCAAGGCAAGGCTCCAGAGTTTCCATAAATTTGATGTATCTTGTCCTCTTTGAAAACAGGGCTTGTTTTAAAATCAGCATGGTACTATAAAAAGCCAAGAGGTTTGGCCATCCATTTCAAACTGCCAAACATATTACTGTTAATGAGACCTATATGGTGCCTATCCTTTACAGCCTGGAAACAGGGCAGAGCCAGAGAAGGATCAGCTTCCATAAATATTATCTTTGGAGGACTCTGGGTAGACATTAGTAATAGAACCCTGTATTAAATGAAAGTGAGTTACAGGAGTGATAAATGCAGCTCAAAGTCAACATGTCAGCTCTGGAGATAAGATATTTTGTATTATATCTGGAGAGATTTTGAAACAATGGTTCATAGTGGAATATAAGGTACGCACCTTCATCAAGAAAGAAACCAAAACTTAAATTACTTTGGTGCAATAAATAAAACCCTAAAACAACAACCACAACAACCACAACAACCACAAGGCAGCATATTTCAGCTACACTCCATTTTTTTTTCTTCCATAGGGGGCCATTCAAAGGCTTCAGGTATAATTCCATTTTAAAAAGAATTGGGTATGATAGTCAGTGAAATTGGCCCATGAGGAACGATTTTGACATCCCGTGTATTTGTATTGTGTTAAGTGGTACTGCAGATCTATATGTCACAATCTTGTGCTTTTCTCATTGGTGAAGGAGTGGGAGAACAGAGGGAATATTCTTGTGGGAGAGTCAAGGATGGCAGAGTCAACACGAGTAAGACAGAAAGAATGTAAGCTCAATAAATGCTTGATTCCTAATTTCTGTCATGAAATCTTTCTTCATGTATGGCAATGGATTCCATTATATTATCTGTGATGTCCCGAGAACTAATTTCTGGCATGTGCAATTATCAGAATCTATATATTGTGAATCTATATATCTATATAGTGCTTAAATTTGGCCTGTGAGGCCGGCCTGGAAATATCAAAGGACCACAGTCCACGGTGCGTCTGCTGACCAAAAATGGGCTGCACAGAGGTCCCAGAAGGCCCCCACACAGCCTGTTTTTGGCCTCCCTGGCCTCCAGAAGCATTCTGCCAGCCAAAATTGGGGGCCTGCATGGGGGCCTCCCAGGGCCTGTTTTTGGTCAGCAGAATGTTTGGAGCATGGGGAGTAGTGTGGAAAGAAAGAAGAGAAAGGAAAAAGTGCATCTTGAGCCTGTGTCAAACATCCATCATGAGTACGCCCCCCCTCCCCAGCCACCCCTACCTCCCCATCCCTCTGAGATCAAACATAACCCTGAGTTATGCCCTCAATGAAACTGAGTTTGACACTTCTGTTCTATCCCATCCCAATGTGTTATTCCTGCTTCTACTTCCTCTCCTAAATTTCTAATGAATAATATGGCCACTAAGCAATAACTTTGACAAACAAATCTTGCCAATGATGACGAGGTGTTGTTGTTTTTTCTTTTTCAGGGGACATCAGCTTGCCAACCAGTTATGCCACCAATCTTCCTGGCATGACAGAAAATCTTGTAGTCAGAAAAAGCATCATAGCTAACCACTCCATAAGGATAATGGATATACTTTAATTCTTTTTAATTCTATCCATAAAATTTCCCAGTGTATCCTCAGCCTAACACTCACTAAAGTGGGGACAGGAGGGATTCTTCCTAGGAAGGATGAAACTTGCCAACCAACCATGGCCAGTCCTTTTGAAACCCCTAGAAAAAGAAGGGGAAACTTTATTTTTAATGCTATTTTTCAAAGCTCATATTTTTAATTGAAGTAGGACACTTCTTGCCCAGATTCACTTAACTTCTTTATGAGCTTTTTGCCAGACAATTTGGAAGCAGTTGTAGCTGCTCCTTAGTATTGTTGTAGTCATCTCTGCTTTTTCCATTGTAGTAAGACCTTTTAAAGCGTTCAAATAAAACTTGGCAGCATTAACATTTTTTTACAGGTCTAATTTCCCCATTTTCATTGCACCCTGCCCCCAAAATGGAACAGATTCACACATATTTGGAAATTTCCCCACTAAAGCCTGGGGATACATTTTCTTTTGAAACAGTTCTTGAATTGGCTCTAATTGGCATGTAGATGCCCCTTTGACTTCTGTGTTCTTAATTCAAATCAAATTAGGGTTGATTTGCGCAGGCCTGATCTTTGTACAAATAGAATAAAATGGAAAGAAATGGAATGGAACAGAACAGAATGGAATGGAACATAATAGATTTATTTAGCCACACAAAGAATTTGTCTCTGATGCAGAAGCTCTCTGTGTGCCAGAGGTGGTATTCAGCAGGTTCTGACCAGTTCTGGAGAACTGGTAGTGGAAATTTTGAGTAGTTCAGAGAACTAGCAAATACCACTTCTGACTGGCCCCAGCCATGTCTATTCTCTGCCTCCTGATTCCCAGCTAATTGGCTGGGTTTCTTTTGTTGCCCTGCACAGGAGAACGGAGCTGAAAAGCAGGTTAGTGGGGTAAGAAGGGAATGGGATTTTGCAGTAATCTCCCCCCAGGAGTGGGAAGGGAATGGAGGATTTTGCAGTAACCTTCCTCTGCCATGCCCACCAAGCCATGCCCACAGAACTGGTAGTAAAAAAATATATGAATCCAACCACTTCTGTGTACATGTAAAACAACAGGGTAATAATAATCATACAGTAATAAATATATCAATAAGAGAAGTTTGTAGAAAAGACAAGGATAGAAATAATACAGCCATACCTCATGGGTGCACAGCCATATGGAAGATGTCTCCTGTTACCTTGATAAGGCATTTTGAGGAAATTTTGAGGAAGAAAACATCAAACTTTGAAGAAGCAAACATTGTTTCTTATTCAAAGTTTAGCAATCATGTAATTCATACTATGGAGGTACTTTTATGGGAACTCCTCTGGTATGTTTAATGCAGAATGTTCCTATGAATGTAGAATGTGTGCACAGGAACTTCAGGATGGCTACAGGATATGCCAAAAGTAACAATCCATAAGCAATGCAGCAGCTTCACTTTTTTTATAAAAGGAAGCAATTTTGTTTTGCAAAGCACCATGAAGGAAATTATTGACTTGAAGCAAGGCATTCTTTGGAAGGTTTGCACAGTGTACTGTAAACCACAGTACCACAGAAGAATCCACAGGACATTAAAAAAATACATCAAAATATCACTCTAACAAACAGTGTTCTTCATGCAAAAAGTTAACACCTTGCAACTAATGGTCCGGTTAATGAAGGCTGAGCAGCAGTACAAACACTTGAAGTGCTGTATTAATGACATCCACATTAATACTAGAAGAGTTTATCATGATTAATGTTAATGTAGTTGATAAATATCAAAGGAATTAATAATGATTAAGCCCATAATTTGGACATATTACTCCAGTGAAAAATATGAAAACGGGAAAGTGTTTATGTTGGCTTTGTAATGAAGTTGAAAGCTGAAGGAGAAAGCAATGTAACATTTTCAGTGTGTTTGCACAATATCCAAGATTTTTCACACCAGATTTATGCTTAGCCATCAACATGGGGAACTAACTAATTCAAGATTCAATGCAGGCAACTACACATTTAATGAACGGTTACATTAAACTATTGCTTCTGTCTCTATATGTGCTGTCAACTTTGACCAGATGCATATATTTTTCTAGTCAAGGGAATCCACTCATTTCTCAGAAAATTTAGAGCGTATTGAAAATTCATAAATTCAGCAAGGGTTGGAGAAAATTAAATAAAGATTGGATTTGAATCAGGACTCAGACATGCAACACTATTTCAAAGCCAGAAAAAAATCAGTTTTTATTAAATTTATTAAAAGATATACTCTGAATATTGGCTTTTCCTTTACTATTGACAGAGTAATTGAACTAAACTACTGTACATTAAGTCAGTTGGGGAACTGTATTTAAACTTTTCATAAAAAGAGGACCGTTGGGAGACAAAGCATCTAATAACTCAAGTTGCATTAACATGCCCTCAGTATTAACTTCCTATAGTTTTTTCCTTCATTGTCATGTTGCAGTAGTATTATCATATTCACACTAATATCAACACTTGGATCTACATTGTCAGGATCAAAAACAGGGACATTTTTGCCCAATGTGTTGAGCCTAGAGCAAAGTTTATTTTGGGGGGTTAATATGGCACCTAAGTTAAGTCTACTATCTAAATATAATCAAACAACCTCAAAAATGTAGTAACAGCTTCAGTTGTAAGAGATTTGGTTAATGTAAAACACAAATTCAGTTATCTAAAATATAAGTTCAGAATTACCACTTGCCCCATAAAAGTCAGTCCAGTCCAGTTGATCAATGGTTTTAACAGAGATCATCAATAGTTCGCTCAAAAAAAAAAAACAGGAGACGCTGATATACATTTACTCAGCCTTTGCCAAAGATAGTAATTTGAATTTAAGATAAAAATCAGAATGTGAAATTGCAACTGGGCTGCCGTTGCTTCATTTTTCATATGGTATTGGATCATATGGTATTGCACCTTTTTGATCTACCAAGAAGAGGTGGTTTTAATAATAGTGTAAAATGCCAATGAGATGGGAAGAAGGTAAGAGGAAAAAAGAAGATAAAAACAAAATCCTGCAATTCCTGCAGTGAAAAGTTACTTACATAATAGCACTTAGCACTTAAGACTTATATACTACTTCACAGTGCTTTACAGCCCCCTCTAAACGGTTTACAGAGTCAGCCTATTGCTTCCAACAATCTGGGTCCTCATTTTACCCACCTCAGAAGGATGGAAGGCTGAGTCAACCTTGAGCCTGGTGAGATTTGAACTACCAAATTGCAAGCAGCCAGCAGAAGTAGCCTGCAGTACTGTACTCTAACCACTATGCCACTGTGG